GAAGAAGAGAGCTGGCAGTTCAGCAACGTTCACTAATAATGATATTAGATATTCAGCAGACCCAAGCAGCGGTGTCCTTCGATTTTTACAGATGATATTCAAGGACAGCGTGGCCGATCGAACCCCGATGACACTTTTCACTTTGTAATTTTATCCTCTTCTGACCCCTTATGCACATCGACCGCTCGATGAGTCGGCAACGGTGCAGTGGAATGAGAAATTATAGGATAAGCCGCGCAGGCCAACGGCGTGCGACTTTCTCGGAGGAAAAACAACGACCTTCGACATTATTGGCCAACGTTACTTAACGTCCACTGAGAAAATGTCTGCATGTACAATCATTTCACCGGAGATGATATTTTCATTCTTTGAACCGAGTGGTCCCAGTCGAAAACGAAACACGGAAATATTTATGAAATTTTGAAACCAGCAAAGTAGGAACATATTCATTGGTGTATGAGAATTTTTGACAAAAAGGTACAAGTTTGTAAGAAGCAGGCAGGTGAACGTATCCTTGACGTTCTGTACTAATACGTGGAACGAAGAGCCGTGGGCCGAGTATGAATGGCCAGAAACGCGGAAGACGTTGGAGAGGTCAGGAACCGATCGACGACGAGCGTGAAACTCCCTCCTCGTCATTCCTTCAACCCTTCTATCCCTCTTTCTCCTTCGTATTCGCTTCTAGTCCTTTCAGAACGACTTTGCTCCACCCACGCAACGGCGTCGGGACACCCACCGGCGTCTACTGTCTCCCCGACTCCGGTGACCCACTTACCAGAGGACACCCCTTGCCATTCAAGGCTGCACGATACAACAACAAGATTACACTTGCTTTTCTTCGATGAAATCCTTCTCAACCCTTGATCCTTTCGTTCCGAAGAATGTACATGTGCACTATGTGTGTTTACATTTCATCGTACCAGTTAGCGGGTTAATATTTATAGCATGAAATTGTGATGGAACCTCATAAATGTATTTTCTCCGATGGTAAAGACTTTTCAAGGGACATTGAGAAAGTACATCAATGGAACAAAGAGATAGACATCTTGGAATATCAAAGACGATTTATGGAGAGCAGGGAATACCGGATATTACGATATAATCATCTAAGGAAATGGAGGACAAATGAAACGCAAATATTCTCTGAATTTTCATCGTTTCAATGTTCCTTCGAACAAACGGAGTGATCAAGTTCAAGGAGGAATAGAAGGACTGAAAAACTTCGCGCCAGCGGAAATCGGACTCGGCAGCGTGTGAATTATGCATTAGGAAAATCCAATTATGTTGGTATATCGGGATACGAACGCCGTACCTTTTCGACAATCCCGTGGGATCGAGAGGCGATGGAAACAAGCGACGATATTGTAGGAATATGAGCGCAAAATTGAAAACCGATATGTAGCGAGAAAAGTTCTAATTCGGAATACTGTCATTTACCTTGAATCGAGAGTTGGATAAGAACGGGTGAACTCGACGTAGTTTTTTCTCTTTAACGAGAATCGAATCGAATCGAAACAGAGGGAGGTGTCGATAATGAATCGAACACTCGCTGAATTGCAGGCCTCGAAATATTTCCACGCACTTACGTAGCGTCGCGACGACCGAAACCTTCGTCCACGGCCACCTGTAGAATAAATAACGAGCAGTCGATTTCGTTCCCGTCGACGAATTACCAGACTCTCTACGTCGCTTCTAGAGAACGAGAATAAGAACGATATAAACGACGGAGAGTGACATGTGGGCAGCCGGATGCCGGATCGCCAGGGATTATGTAAAACGGCTCGGTTGAACGTGATAATTTCGTCTGCGAGGAAACTGACGGATCGTCGTGAACAACGATGTCGTAAAAAGATATTTGTAATACTGTCAAATATTTCCATCAACTTCTCTGCCAGAGAACTGAATCATTATTGTTAGATTTCGAATTTTTCTGAAAGCTATTTAGACTCAACTTTGTAGATTTTATAATACGCTAATACGAATGAGAGGAAAATATAATTTAAGAAAGAAATTGTAAAGCCGGAAGGTCGTTCTTAGCCGAATTTAATAAATAATATGTTAAGACGTGTCATCACTGAGCTCTGAACCGAAATTTAATACTTTTCGAATTTCCTATAATTACGAGTATGGAAGTCATCTTTCACTTGACCACGTGTGGTGTTTTAGAAAGCTATTCAAATTGGGACACCAAGCAACGAAGAATTTTGATATCCAAACTAAATGCGACATTAGTGCCTTGAGGGCAGTGCTACTCTAAAGGAACCTGTTCCTAGGTGACCACCTAAGCATCATCTGGAGGTGTAGCCAGATTAAGAAGAAACGAGGAAACCGGTACAGCGAAAAATCTCATGATTAGATGGTTTCTCAGCGGAGCTAGTCGAAACTGGGCGCAGTTGCAGTAGCCATCGACGTGCTGCTAACGAAACAGGCAAACGAGTACCTGCAGAACGCGATCAATACTCCGTGCACGAGTGCACACTGGTCGGAGAGCACGTGTTCCCGTTTGTTTTCTTCCTTACCCCTGCAATCTCGCGGTCGACCAACAACTTCTGTCTCCTCGTCCTTTCAACCCTTCGCAGCCACCGAGTTTCGATTTCATGAACGGTCGGATTCGATGAATGAATCGGAACGACCGTTGTTTAAAAAATATAAATCATTGTTATTCGAAATCGTCCCGAGATGAATAATTCGAGAGGATGCGGTCGATAATCGGTACGGTAGGGCTGGAACGATGTTGGTGTTTCGAACTGTATAATCGTCAGGCATAAATTAACGCGGTACATTAGCTGTTTAGCATGAAACTGTTCGTTCAGCTAGTCGACCGGATAATAGACACGAAGCATTGTTCGCACGAGCAACCTAATCGCAATTATACACCGCGGTTAAACTAACCGAAATGTCATGTACGTGCATCGAATCATGGAAACTTTCGATCGATCTTCCCTACGGACTCCTTTTATTCTCCGCTAATATACCATCAATTATCAGCAGAAATCTTGATCTGCATCTTAAAATTCATAATGGATAGCAGTTCATCCCCCAAGAAGAGGCAACTTACAGGACATCCCGATAGAGTGATTCTGTCGTGGCAGAGACAGAGATAGAGAAGGAGGATAAGTGCACGAAGAGGAGGGATGAGAGGGGAGGAAAAAAAAGAGAAGAGTATCCGGTATCTGGAGCAACGGTATCAATGTTCGACAGCACTCGTTGCAGGTCCAAGAGGTTAAAGCCGAGTTTGCACGGCAACATAAACTCGGCGACGCGCGGGCTGCAGGTGGGCCACTGCACGTGCGCGGCTAGCAGCAGAAATCCGGCGAAATTCGATCGATTCTGGCGAAAGGAGGAAGGAAGGTTCGACGAACACCACGCATAGATTCAAAGGGTGGTGGGAGGAGGGTGGATTGGATGAAAGGAGGGATGTTAATCGAGGTAGAGGTAGGGACGGGGGGTTGGAGACGTTTGCACCGACCTAGAATCGAACTGAACCGTACTAAGAAACCGAGCACTCTCTTGACCCCGATATCCCCCGGGGTGCGTTTCTTTGCCCGATCGAAACACCCGACCTTGGCTTCGAGACCGATGCGCCCGGGCTCGCGTTTCCTACCCACCCCCTCCGCCATCTCTGCCTTTTACCTAATCCCTCGTCCGTTCAACAGCATCTTTCTTCTTTTTTTTATCTCTACATTATTAACCCTTCGGTTACGTTGTGCTAACTACGTGCCCTGTACGGATTTATATGTATTACGGTACACCAGGGTATCCCCTTTCGAACTGTCGTAAAGTTATTTAACCAAAGCAATCGCTAGACAGATTAACGTGTAGTTTGAATGCGCCGTCGATGTCGGGGTCACGGAGGTTAATTAACTCGTAATTCGTAAAGCCAATCGATTCGTGGGATGTTGCATGAAATCGTATCGCCTCCGTCAGCAACTGGAGCATGTACGAAGAGTCTCTTTGGCCGATATATCGATTTCTATTCGGATGTTACACCGGTCACTTCCGCGCAGATTGAAATTTAATTGGACAACGAGAAAAACGTAGATTTAATAGAAAATTACAGAAGCTGCTGGAAAGATTTCCGATCGGCCGAAGCACGAGTACGATTCCCGACGAAACTCTCTCTGTGCAGACAAAGTGGACGAACCGTGAAATTGATAAAAGGAGGCTGGTGACGAGAAAAGATCGCCGTTCGAGCACCGGGATCGGAAACGGTAATTAAATCTGTCCAGCAACCGTGATCGAATCTCGGAGGGCAACGAGGGATTCTTCCTTTTAGAAATTTCAATGTTTTTCTCGGAAACGCGTAATGCGATTACATAAGTCGCGTTTCATCGCGAGACAAAAATTATCGTGCACGAATCCGTCGTAACTAGACGCGATCATTTTCAACTACTAACCGATTATTTCAGAAAAAAAGAAAAGTGACCAGCTTGGGTATAACAACGAGTAATTAGAGGATTATAACGTAATGGACTAGTAATTCCAGCAGTCAGACAGCAACGTATACACATAGACAAATCTGCTTTTTCATGTTGCCATGTCTGTTCCACCAAAGCCATTCGGCTTTTTAACCCTTTTTTAAATTTCTGAACTTAATTCCTGTTATTCCTCTTTGATTGCTTTCAACTTATGCAATAACAAGATCTCCAACCTATTATTATTAGCGACAGGTCTCGAGAGAAAGAGAGTTTGTTAATCAATAACTTCTAATTTTATATAACATTTTCTAGGGTACGTGAACCAAAATGGTGGTTCTTCTCAATGAAATCTTGAAACGGAAGAAAACAGTACGCAGGATGCGCTCAGGGTCAGGATCGCCTACTTGAACACGTAATCCAAAGCCCACTTCCGTTACACGGTTGAGAATTAACCGCGGCAAGTCAACTAGGACTTCAATCAACGAGCGAAGAATGTACAGGAGGTAACCCTCTCTTACATACGCCCACATCCCGTGCACCCCCACAATCGAACCGAAGCGAAGCGTTATAAAAAGCCGACATCACGGCTAAGACGGCGCATTATATCGTGTACGACGAATCGTGATCAAAACAGCAATTGTCTGTTTCTTTTTTAGTGGACAAAAATCTAGGTGAAACGAAAGGACGGAGGATGGGTGCCAAAGAAGGGCTGCTGTTATTTGCACTGTTGTACGTGCAGACGGTTATCGTGCGCGCAGCGGTAAGCTTTCAAATCGCTTGCAGTTTCCGGTGGCCAAGAAAGGGAGGGTGAACGATGTTTCGCAAAATTTCGTACGTTCGGATCACGGATCTGCTAGATTTGCTTTTGAAACCGGGAACGCTACTCAAGGGTCTGGTCGAAAAACGATTCACGATAAAATACTGCAAGTCTTAGGATGTAGAGTCGAAGCCGAGCGTATCGATTCGTTGACCACGGATATATTCGAGATATCAACGAGTCAATAAGCGTGGAAATAACGAGACGAATCGCTGTGTGTGACCGGCCATAATCAATACATCGGGACAAGCGGATTCGAGATTAGAGGGAAAGCCTAATTGGAGCGTGCAAACTTTCTCTCCACGTAATTTCACCCTACGTACCATTTACATTTTACCTTTTATTCTTTCACATGAATGTTTTTACTTGTTACGAAAACGTATCACATGGGGATTTAGTTACATAAGCGGTACAGAAAACAGACTCGGTTCGCTGGTTATTATTCCCGAATGTAGGAATAGAATATCGATTTGTTACGGACCAAACAGCCGGTTCATCTTAGAAACTTTCAACGCCTATTATACTGTTTTCAATGAGAAACGTTCCATCTGTTTAATTAATTTTCATCAGAGTTTCTTTTTCGTAGCCGGACTGGCTACCACCGGAGTTATTAGAAATGGTGCAAGATGACAAGGCACGGTGCATGAGTGAACATGGTACCAAACAAGGTTAGTACTCATGAAAGGAATGGTAGTTAAAAAACAAATTAATCACATTCTGGTATGACTAATAAAAATTTCCCCTAAATATAATATTATATATGTAACCATGTTTATGTTAAAAAATTCGCGGACAATTCGTCAGATAAACAATGCAAGTACGTAAAATAATTCGTTATTTCGGAATTTAGAGCAGGTCGAGGAGGTGGACAAAGGAATCTTGAAAAATGAGCCGTCAATCACCTGCTACATGTATTGCATGCTGGAAGCGTTCAGTTTGGTAAATTTTTGAAAGGATCGCCTTCATTGAAGTTTATACATGTAAAAATGACTCTGTTTTCAGGTGGACGACGAGGCAGATTTAGAGAAGGATATGATGATAGGTTTATTGCCAGAAAATATTCAGGAGAGGGCAGATGCTGTTGTGAGCAAATGCGTACCGACAAGTACGTACGTCTATTAAAAAAAAAAAAAAAAAAAAAAAAAATATGTATAAGGGAACATTGCAAAAATGCATTCTAATGAAATTCTCACGATGCTTTTTTACAGCTGGCGCTGATAATTGCGAAAAGATATTTAACCTAGCTACCTGTGTCTATGCCGGTGCACCAGACGTAAGTTGCATTTAATATTCCACAGTAATTGAATATTTCAATGATCAAACGTGTACTTTATGCATATATTCAAAGAGCAAAATTACCTAAATCCCTCAAGAAAGATTTCCAAGTATAAATCTTCATTACTTTCCATACTTTCAGGTATGGTTCATGGTCTAACAGCTTAAAAAAGATTACTCCACAAAGGGATGGAACTATATTAAAATAAAATTAATTTTGTAAAAACCATGACGAAGAATATATGACTAACGCAAAAGTGATTTAGAAGGGAAGAAAAAATGCATCGTTGAAACATTGAAAATTAAAAAAAAAAGATACTTAGCAGAAGAAGTTAAGCAAGAAGCGAAGTTAAATCAGCAAATAAAACGAGTGTATAATTATTGTTGTTAGAGAAAGAAATATATACGGAGCAAGTGAACGAATGTATAAAAAAAGACAAGAAATTGAAAGAATAAAATCGACTGAATGAGAGAGAGAAAATAAAATCGAGGAAAGAATTCGATCGAACACGATGAATTTATTTAAAAATATAAAAGAGAAACAATAATACACGCACACATATGTGTGTACATAAAGATGTGTTGCGTAACCGTTCAACAGCGTAGAATTCGCGAATAACTGATATGTACCGTGTAATTTGCATGACGATTTAATTCGCGAACATCTTCGAACGCGACGTGATTGTATGTTTTCTCGCAACGCCTCCTATGTATATGCTACGGAAAATGATACGCAGAATACGTCGGACAGCCATTAAAAACTGCTATCCTCTTTCGAGATAATTTTATAATGACATCATCCGATACGGTCACCATTATTATGCAATATGTATATGTATATCGTTCGGAAGCGATCGCGGTTCAACTTCGCCTTTGCAAATCTGCTATCTTTGCGAATCTTCGTGATTGAAATGTTTACCGAGTGACAAGAAGAATTTTATTTCAATCAAACAGTTAACGAACAAAAAAAGAGGTTCCTTCGGTGAGATAAATTGAAGCTCGAAATTGGTACGGGACAATAGCTATTTTTATGTAGTTTTATGTCATGAAATCTTATCAGCGATTAAGTCAACGATTAAGTACAATTTTCTCGCACTAATTACCACTAACAAAATGTATCATGCGTTATCGTGCAGAAACATTACAATAAAATGAAAAATAAAAAGTGGGGTACATTGAACCTGTCGAAGGAAGGAGTCTCGACCGAGCGATGGTTCGTGTCATCGATTCGTCGTCCCACCCAACATCGTCGCGGTGTCGTGGGTCCGGTGCACGTGGTGTCGCGTAACCAAAGCATATTCCTCGTGTTCATCGATCAAGGGTATCGTTTCCCCATCAATTTCACGATATTTCACGTCGTTTAACTATCAATCGATCAAGAGTGGTTACCGGTAGCTATTTTTCATTCCGTCAGCTAACGATGCGAACCGAACGACATAATGAAAGATAATACCGTGTCTCTCGCGGGAGATGGTAGTTTGATTCGATTCGAACGAATCTGGTATCGAATTAAAACGGAGTGAACGCGTAACGCGTTCCCCCGGCTACGGAGAAAAATCTTGAAACATCTATTTTTACACGGTGACTGGAAATAGTCGGGTTTAATGAAAGGAAGCACGCGATCTGCCGTTCGTACGTTGCTCCAGTCATGAGTCACGCTTCGAACGCGAACTCGCAACAAGTTGAGAGGATCCCCTATGATGTCTGTCGGTGTAATTGATCGAAGCAACGGCGATGCGGTGATTTCAAATACCGTCACGAGTGTTACCGCGCATCCGCGAACCACCCGTGACCATTGGTCACACGCGCGGATCGACGAACTCCTCTATTCACAGCCAGCATCTCCCCAAATCTCACCCTCGGATTTCGAATCAACCTCGGCCGTGTTTGCACGGTCCAAAGCAAACACCGTAGACGTGTTGATACAATTGCTAAGTTACGCATTCGAACCGTTAATATCACTGATTTAATTGCCTACCGTTCTATTAACAATGGGAAGGGTTAAACTCGCGACAGTCCATCAACTTACTTTACGAACATTCAGTTGGATAAAGTAAAAAATAAATGTGCACATCTGATAGCAAACACGTTTCTACTAGCATTCAAAGTGCATACACGCTATAAAAAGGAATTTTGTCGAGGGTAAGAACCGTGTGACGTGTGGTAAAGAGGCAAAATAAATGGATGCAGCAACAGAAGAAACGAATAATAATAATAATAATAATAATCTAGTTAAGACAACAGAAAACTAGATTGACTCGATTAGATGGCCATAGAGTACCTTAAGGTCGATCGAGTGAATAGCAGCGGTGTGCGGCGATGGGTGTTCTTTCGCGTCGGCGCCGCAGTTCGCGTTGTTGTTTACATTCGGCAGAGAACCACCCGCCCTGAACTGATTTCCCAGGTTAATGTGCAGGTGTTTGCCGCTGGACTGCGGTGGGCTGGCGCCGGCACTCTTCACCGACAACGGGGTCTCCAGTACCCCGGACGATCCCGTGGGACTGGCGCACACCGAGCTGCTCGCCGAGGCGACCTAAGCAGGTCCATCGTTCATATGGTCACACCAACTCGATTTTCTCTCCGACTTACTAACACCTTTACATGATACACAACAACGCCAGCCATGTCTTTTTCATTTATTTTTTTTTTTTTTCTGCCAACCCATCGAGAATTTTACTTACTGATTATACATACCATGGGTTTCTATACCGTAATCAGGTTTAACGGGGTATTTTTATCATGCTGGGAAGCGGTTAGAATTCCTGTTTTTAATGCGAACGATAATTAACACATTCGAGACCGGTGAAGCACCTGATGTGTCTCACGACCGGTTTTGAAACGTAGAAAGTTTTACATAATTTTATCACATAAAAGTATGGCGAAATGGTATTTACGATACATCAATTTGAAGCTCAATGTTTGAGGAAAATGACTGAATAAAGATTTCAACAATACTGTTAATACGAATCGTGTGATTTTTCGTTGCAACATACGGTGTATTAAGCATTTTTCTGGTCTCGAATATGCTAAGGGAGAGTATTGCCTTTTCTCTATGGGCAACGTTTCCTTCGATCACGATCGTTAAAAACCCACACGGGTTAAACTTTACGCCCGGAACATCGACATTCCTGTTCGACCACGATCTGATAAACAAGCTTCCTCTCTTCTCTCTTCTCTCTCCTCTCCTCCCTACGAACCAATCCCTTTTTCCATAGTTAGGTCTATGGTTCGAATTCCAGCTGTGCCTCGACAGAAATTCAGTCGATTCGTAAAGAAATTTTTTTCGTTTGAAACTCGAATGCCCCACGAGATATCGAGAGAACAAGCGGCTATAACGTCAAATCCAACGAAGGAAAGGAACCGGCGAACAGCGGTCTAGCGATAAAATTGCATTCGTGACTAGTCTCTAGTGTCCCGAGACGGAATTACATAATTCCTCGCGGTGAAAGCAACTTCTCCAAATGCAACCTGTTTTACATTCGCCAGTCTCTCGAATTACACACTTTTTTTTTTTTTTTTCATACGAGAATACGGATGATTCATCCTGCGAACGAAATACCTATGGAACATTTGTTGAATGGTAACAATGGTAATAGTGATCAGAAATTGTGTTGCTAAATTGTATCTTTTAATCCTTAAAAAATGTTTGATTTATTGAGATTCAATAGCGGGGTAGCGGAAAGAAACACACCTGACACACGATACATTCTCGACCGTGAAAATCGAATGGATTGTTGTATTGAACAGTCAAAGCACTCAAGATAAACGCTTATCTTCAATTTAATAATACTACGATTTGCACGAACGTTAAAGGATGCGATAAAAAAGAAAGATATTTAACTAGACAGAAGAACATTCGAAATTACCGCCAAAATCATTTGAAATGTCAAATCGCCGTAACGAATCAAGATAGAACATAAATTTCCCTTCAAGAACGTTAAAAAGTAACTTATCTGTAATAATTCACGATATAAATGGCTTATTAATCGAATTTTAAGTAAATTAAAAAGGTTAAACGTAAAAAACGATCATTTACTTTTCTCATTTGAGTGGCGCGCATGCGCAGGACCACGCATTGAGTTCGAGCGATTAATCGCCGTGGTCATAATCGTTATCGAGGCCGTTAACGGTACAATGATTCACAAGCGTGCACAGTTTGGCCCGTTGGATGAAAAATCACGATCTGGATCATAGATCGCGTTAGAGACGCAAAAATCGAACATAAAGAGACGGGGAAAAGAAAACAACGAACGATCGTGCGTGGATACAATGTTCGATACGACATACTGGTCGAGTCGAGTTATCGACAACGATTAGCGTTACGTTCACTCGTGCGAACGTATCAGCGAGGTTATGTACATGCGATATGGTCTCTTATTAAATGCTATCGAAAATTTCGCGTGGCATATATGTATACACGCGGAACTCGTTCGAATTCGTGACTGTCCGTCACGTGGTATCAGTACTGAAACCGAAAACATCCGTTAGTCGAATCGAAGGAATATCTACAAGCTTGAACGAGTTACTCTGACATTCCAACGTTCACCAGATAATTTTGCGTGGTTGAGTACGGAAGAAAAATAAAGAGAATGTCAAGCGTGCTAAGAATTCGTCGAACACCTGAAAACACGCCGCGACCGCCACGACTTAACCTCTTAAACGCTGCGAACGTGTTTACACGTGCAACAATGGAAACGGTGCCAAACACATTGAATGCATCGACACCAATTACTGAATTTCATATTTTCTATTTGATTACCATTCAACATTTAATAAAATGATAGCGTGCACGCATACGCATGATTCGCTGTCGAAAGAATTTAGTAAACAGGAAAGGGTTAAGTCGACGTTACCGTAAGTAACCTCGCGATATCGACTGATCGAACGGTATGCTTTAAGGTAACATCACAGCTTCCGCATTTAGTACAATGCTATTGTTATGTAACCGTATATGTATACGGTTATCGTATGGATATGAAAAACGCGCCAATTTCGCACGATTCCTTACCCATAGTAATGGAACTCAAAGAGAGGGCGCTATGCACGGATCTAAATGAAAATCGTGATTGGTATCTGCTTTTTCTTCCACGATTCGCATCTCTCGTGGCACGCTATCGTTTAAGTCACACGAGGTTTGGATAAACGAATGAAAACATTCTCGCGTTGCAACATCTCTGGACGGTGTACGTGACCAACGGTAAACGCCGCTCCTGACGGAAGGATCGAATCGAAATTGACGAGGTGACAAAATTGCGATAATAAGGTAACGTGAAACACTTGTCTGTGAAAATTTCGGAATATTTGGAAGAATAATTTCGCGCAGAAGCGAAACGATACCTTCTGTTTCATCGTCTAGAAAATGACAATAATTGGTGGAAAAATATCCGCTGAAGGTTTCTGCTTCGCGTACTAGAAAATTAATATCATTTCACCCAATAACGATTATGTTTGCCGATAATTCAATAATACTATATAAAATCGAACAAACTGTTTTCTTTTCCTAACACAGAACGATGCCCACTCGGAATGACACGTGATTCTGAAAGAAAAGTGCTCCGAAACAGTTCGACCAAAATGATCTATCGAACGATGCACTTTTACAAACGTTAAAACTATCAGAAAAATAAACAAAGAGCTCGTTCGACTGTAATCGATCTTAAATAAAAAGTATGTCGTGTAAATAGAAACACAATCACAATTCGGTTTCCAATTTCTTTCGTATACGAAGAACGAAGAGGCGACAAACGATTCCCTAATCGAGAACACTCAATTACGCTACATACCATCACTCGAGTAAAAGAATAAAGGTTTTCTCGAAAAGTAACAACGTTCCGAACGAGTCAACAGGATGAATGCGATCGTCGATCGTACACGTACGCATTTATTAAGAACTTACAGAACGGATGGTGGCGAACAAGCGCACAGTACGTTCCGCATAGTATACCGGAGCATATACCCACTTCACACAGATACGCGTATCCGTACACTCTCTTTCTCATAGGCGAAGCAACGAAGAAGACCAATATACACACCCGTCCTCAGCCCGCACACTATGAACACGGATAGAAAAGAGAAACAGAGGGCCAACGGGCTTCGTACAGTTGTAGTTGTGCACGTTTAAACATAAATACTGATAGTAGCCTAGCCAGGCACTCATACTCGCACACAGTAACGTGTGGTAGCGAACCTAACCAAACACATTCACGGAACGCGACATATATAACACACACGTATAATCGACACAACACACAGCGCAACGAGGAGAGAGAACACTAGTTGTTTACGTTCTAACATCTCCACTCGAAGAAGATGCACCAAGGATAATAAATGTATGTCCCTCAATGGCAAGGACCTATTGGAATTTTCCTTACTCTGCTCGTGACATCCGAAACCTCTCGCATGATCGCCTCGAACGCCGCTCTTTCCTGCGCTTCCTTCTGTTTGTGTAGCGCGATCTTGTCACTGAATTTCCGTGGATTCGCCATGATGGCTCGACACTTAAGATCTCCCAACACTCGCGAGTATCGTGCACTCTAACTATCGTGTGCACTCAACCCCCTCGCACGTTTCCTTTTTCACCAATCGCACCAATAGGGCCTCCCTAATATTTCACCACGTTAGAACCCGTAACCTACTGCCTTCTGGATGGCACTGCCGATCGCTGATACGCAAGATTATGCGGCGCAGCGCGCCATGCGCATCGCGCAGGAGCCGTTTTTCGCGGGCTCATTGGTTACAGTGATCCCCCACCACTAAGCGTATCTCACCCGCAATAAAAAACTGACGACACTTTTCCGGGCTGTTCCGAAAAACTGGCTTATTGTTACAATACACTGCACGGTGGATAAAACAGGTTAATGTTGACAGTTGATTATGTTGAAGACACATACGAAAAAATGAGAAATTATTCTTTCATTCATTCGCAGCTATATTTCTTTTATCAGTTTATACTCACTATTCAATATGTATAAATAAATAAAATATTTTGTCTACTTGTTTTTTTACACCTATCTATATTCTGTACGTTTTGCAAATTAGCAAATTCTTAATGGAATATATCGATTCACGATCTATATTTATCCTATATCCATAAGATATGTATTATTTAATGAAATAATTAGAAAGTCTTTCAATTGTTTAATTTTTAAGACTAAACACTTGTGTTTCTGTTATATCGATTGAGACAAAAATGATCATAAATATCATTGATGTAATACAATATTCCTCAAAGTTGTCATCGATTGCGATTTTATACCCTTTTTGCAAATATATATGTTATTTATGTAACAAGGAATAAACCGTTTATTTAATTATTTTGTAACACTATTTTGAAATGTAATTATGGCATGTTTCAATAAAGATACATTTATAGAGTGTTTGCCAATAAGTGTATATAATGATTTAGTCAATGCATTAAATAAAGATTCAGCTTGGATGACACTAGCAAATCATGTAGCTGAATGGCTGGAATATCCAGGGTAAGTATAGAAATACTATTTAAAGGTCACCAAAAAGTGTTATCAAATTAAAATAATATTTTCTTATGCAGCGCTTTGTGGATTCAGTCTTTAAAAGACATAAAACACCCACATGAATCTTCTGGACAGAAACTACTTTCTGAATTAAATATTAAAATGTGCACTGTAGAAATCTTATGTACATTGTTAAATGAATGTAATCTTCTTAATGTTCTTTCTATATTATCACATTCAGGTATAATTATATTTTGCATAGCACTATCCTGTCATAGATTTAATAATATATATTTTAAATATGATTCTAGAACCACTAAATATTATTGTGCATCCAACAGAAGAATTAGAAACTAACATTTTAAAAATTTCATTTGGACAACATCTTCGCTTATGTTGTATGGCAGTTGGTATGCCACCACCAAATTATATATGGTATCATGGAGATGCACAATTGCAAAATTGTACTTCTAATCAACTTGATATTATTATTACCAGGTATGTACTTTATAAAAATGTGCACTGTAATATTTTTTATAAATGTTCATCAGTTTCGTTATAATACTCATTTCATATGTTTCCAAGTGCATCTCAATCAGGAGAATATAGGTGTAAAGTGCTTCAGATAAAACATGATGGAACTCTAATATCAACTTTAATTTCTAAAGCTGTAACTGTCCAAGTTGGTCCTATACCTGTTAAAATAGAAAAACAACCACAAGCATTGATTGAAATCAAAGCTGGTGATAGTTACACAATTTCTTGTGAAGCTAATGGCTACCCTAAACCACATTATCAGTGGTTCCATGAAAATACTAAATTAGAAGGAGAAACTTCTAATACATTACATGTATGTAAGTTATTGTCTTTTTCTTTCTATAGGAGAAATAATGCTACTTTACTTAAATCATTTGTAATTTTAGATACAAAACTTCAGTTCAATATATGAAGGAAAATATTATTGTTACATTTATAATGATATTAGTGAAGTCTATACTGAAAAGACTCATGTGATGGTAAAAGTGGATAACATTTTTTATAAATGGTTAATCATTATATAATAATTTTCTAATTTCATTATGTAACAGATGGATCATCCAAGATTGAAAGCAGTTGCAAAAATAGCTTTAATTATTGCAAATGGAGAGTATGAACATCATGGGACTCTTCCAACTGCTAGGAATGATGCTGCACATATAGCTAATCTTCTTAAAGAAATAGACTTTGAAGTAATTTGCCTGATGAATTTGACTATTACTCAAATGAAAAAAGTGATACAATTATTTAGTGAAGCTTTAGTGACTGGTGTATATGGTAAGATGTAAAAATTATGAAACAAAGAATGCAAAACCAAATGATTTATTATTTTTATATAGGTTTATTTTATTTTGCTGGTCATGGTTTCAAAATACAAGAAAGTTATATGCTTGCAACAGATTCTCCAGAAACATATTTAAGAAAGGATGCAATATGTGAAAGTGAATTATTAACTGCATTCCTTAAAAATGATCCTAAATTATTAATTATTATCTTAGACATGTGTCAAACTTTGCCCCCAAAGTAAATATTTGTGTTTTTTTGTTGTTATTTTAATGTGTATTTATACATGTATAATTAATGTACTTATTTTCAGAGAATTTAATCCCGATATTTATCGCGAGCTACCAACAGTAAATGAATACAAAAGCAATAAAAATCTACGAAACTTAATTCAAGCATATTCCACGTCTAGTTATCGACCTAGCTATGAAAAAGTAAACAGCAAATATGGTTTATACGTGACTCATCTTAGTAAATATATTACTAAAAATATAACAGTTACAAAAATATTTGAAGATGTAGGAAAATGTAAGTCTATTGATACTATGAATTTTGTAAATACATTAGATTTCATTTTTACCGAGTCCGTATTTTACTATAATCATACTTACAGCTTTTGATAGCAGTTTCAAAGGTAAAGAACGCAATCAGATTCCAATGTTTGCTTCATCAGTTACGAAGCCGTTTCGACTTACTGATGCTATATACAAAAGTAATTCTACCTCTGTTCTTATTATATATACATTATAAGTACTGTTTTCGTTTCTTTTTCTTTAACGTAATTATTAAAACATTACAGAAAATCTTTCAGATTCCATTAGTTATTTAAACAAAATAATATCATTCTCAACACAAACACTAAATATAACTTTCAAACAAGTAAATATGAGTACTAGAATTATAATATCACTATTCATGGAACCCTATTTAAATTTAATAAAAATCAAAGTACTTGACTTACAAAACGTAGAAATCAACTTCCTTAATTACAAACCTGCAAAACGAAATAATTTATACCAGGATCAAGATAGAAAAGAATGCTGGATCCATAATCCTCAGATTAACCAGGTATTTTTTGTTTTTAATATAGTTTTGTTATCTCGCTGTCACAACAGTATATTCATCTTAAACAGTTTATTTTTGTATACAATTACATTATCAATATGTTATAGGGACCATTAATTATCTCCATTACCAGGAATGGAACTCCTATTGATGCAACATTGTTACACATAAAAGATTACATACCTCCATTATTAAAAATTATGAACTGTTAAAATATTAATATCTTTTTTATTTTCTAATAAAAAAGCACATAATTGAGTAAGATATGAAAAATAATGAATAAAATATTTCAACTTTTTAATATATACATACATTTTATTTGGCATACCTTATGGCATTGTACAAGCAAACTGAAAAATTCCTCTATGCTTTCTATCAAATCCTGTTACGTTTTATATAAGAAAATAAGTAGTTCTAGAAACTCTCTGTAATGCATACAAAATAATTTATTTCAAGCTGAAAATTTTATTTAACGTACAATCAAGATAAATACATAATAAACAATTGTTATTCTGTTTTACATACCATGGTTAATTAATTTTGCTATCCACGATTCCCCAATACCCTTTCTATATCTTCTTTGAAATACATATGCACACTTGAACATAGATTCCAACTTGTTCCTGATCTCATAAAAAGGTATTAAAAAATCTATAGGCTGAGAATTTGAATACATTGCTACAGCTGTTACTTGAAGAATTACTTCATTTTTATCTAAAATAAAATTGCACAATATAGAAAAAGAAGACCTTATTTCTTTTATAAAATTACCTGTAGTTTTAATTATTTGTATCTTAGCAATACCAATTAAAGAATTTTCTGGTTGTATGGCGATGAGTCTTCTTTGTTCTGGTGTTAACTGATCAACTCTATGTTTTAAAACTTTAATTGCTCTTTTATCTACAAATTCATTTAGTGCTTCATAATTTTGTGCAGCTAATGCATTAGATATTACTGACATTGCCTGAAAGAATATAAAATAAAAGTTGGAGGTATATATTTTATACAAACTGTAAATTATTCAAATACACAGAAAATACAAAATATTAATATAAGTAAAACTGTGCATATAATGCATTAGACAAAATATGATACCTGTGTAGCTCCAGCTATAAATGGAAAAATTCTGAAATCTTGATCAACAGTTGAACGTATAAATATACTATAAAGAAAAGATGCTATTGGTGCGGGTTTAACACTTCCTCGATGCCACATTAATGATGGCAGACGACTTTCTTTTTCCTTCCTTTCAAGATTAGTATGAATTAGTTTATACATGCTAAAACTTGAATTTTTCAAATTGTTGTATTTTAATTCTATCCAATGAAGGGATCTTTTCATTTTTGTGTGATATTTGTTCCGGATATTAAGTGTAACTAACGGTCGCATCTGTATATGAAATATACATCTTTCCAACTGAAATAATAACATTTTATGTTTGTTTAACTTCAATTATAATAAAAATAAATAGGTCCCCCAAACTTTATTCTTGTGAAAGATGCATACTTTAGTTTGTGCGCATGCTACTTGGAGCGCGGTAGTTTGGAAGACCTGAATAGAAAGCAATGACTAAAGATCCAACCAGATTGGACATGCTTTTGTCAAAGAGAAGGTATAACCTCCTCTTTGTCTTGGTTTTCGAGCCTGAGGATACAGGGATACAGGGGTGATCCCCATGAGGCCCATAAAGAGAAATAAAATAATAAATGATTAGAATGCTTTGGCCTTAGTGCATAAAGGATAAAATAAGTAGAAACTGAAAAGGGTGGGCTTTGGCTCATAAGGCTGGTTCAGACACGGCTAGTAATTTAGTCGAGTGGGGAGTAACTACTTGTTACTAAATTGTTTAGCGCATAGAAAAGTGCCCGGACTAGTACAGTTGAGCTTTGGAAATCGAGAGTACAAGATATATCGCTTGACTAAAGAAATGGGTCCGGACAGGTCGGTTCGGAAACCTAGTTAGTGGTGGGGGAAGCCTACTCGACCAGAAAAATCCAATGAAACGGATCGACTCGACTAAACCGTTTTACTAAACTACTCGACTAAACTCTAGTGTCCATACACTAAACTACTCGCCACTCGACTAAACTACTAGCCGTGTCTGAACCAGCCTTTATTGTTAGTTGGATGCAATAACTGAAGTGGCGCTTAAATCAGTTTCCGATCGGGGCTGTTTTACTGATGCGGAATTCGGAGTTCATAGCCACCTAGTGCTAGTTTGCCAAAATTAGTGAAACTAAATACAATGAACAAGTGAATAGTCTATTTAATATCTCCTCCGTGTTTCATAGTACAATGTATAACAAGATTTAGTTATCTAGGTTTGTTTAGAAGATTTTAAAAACTATATTTTCCATAATTAGCCTCATTTCAATTAAGAACAATGAGGTTGACAGGTACTTTACTTTCAAAAATGGGTGAATGGTCTAAAAAATATGGAAATTTGCCAGATCGGTATATAGACCGCGTTATGGAAAAGGTATGTAATTTTGTTTGAAGTGTATTTATTATTTGCATCCTGATTATTGTTGATTTTATCGTTTTCGTATCATTTGTGTATAGGTGTATTGGCAATCACCTCCGGGGAAACCGCAATATCTTCGAAAGAAAATAGTAGCAACAAACAAATTTTATTTTTCTATTCACCGACCATGGACCGCAACATTTCAAGTCGAAAATTTTAATCATAAACGGAGAGATTTCGTTCCAGTTGAACCCATTAAAGATTGGAGTTTCTTTCGCGGAGATCGCGTATGTACTGTTAAATGTTATGTGAAGTGAACCACAATACAATATTAAAATATTTTTAGGTAGAAGTACTTGTTGGAAAAGATAGAGGAAAACAGGGAATAGTGAGGGATATTATTCAGGAAAGAAATTGGATTATTGTACAAGGCCTAAATACAAAGTTAATAATACAAGGAAAGACCAAAGATTTTCCTGGTGTTTGTATGCTTATAGAACAACCATTATTAGTTACTACACAGGTTCTGTTAGTGGATCCCTATGATTTGTAAGTATCATATAGTTTTTCTTTAATATGAGAATTTAAAAATGTAATGACGTATGTAATTTTATTTCAGAAAGGGAGCTCCCATAGAATGGAGGTATACAGAAGAAGGTGAAAGAGTAAGAATATCAACTAGATCTAATAGAATAATTCCAATACCAGGATCAAGTAAAGAAACTATAGACTACAAATCCCCTGAATTATATGTAGACCGACCAAAAGATACTGTTGCAGATGATGTAAAGGAGGTAACATTTGAGGTATGTTACAACTTGATACCTACTGACATCATAATATTATTTGCCCCAGACAGTTTTTATCGTTGATTTTATTGATACACAGGCTCATTTAAAAACGTTTGAAATGGATATTATGGACAAGATGGGTATTAAAGAAGACCGTGTACCAAAGAAATATTTTTGGTACTAGTTTTGGTATTAATCTATCATGTTTTTTCAAATGAATATTTATATTACTATCCTCTTCTTTCAATCACTTTGAGGATTATTTGAAATGAAACTAAAATCAGACACATCAACGCTTCTGCAGTTTAATTGTGTAATTTATTATTAATAAAAGTTAGATTGCGATATTTTCTGTTCATGAAATGTATAGAAAATATTTATAGAAGGAAGGATACATATACATAACGTTAAGCGATCGATCGAATATTTCACAGATACCTCTGTTAAAATAAAATGTATTGTTATCGTGTTTCCTTTTTCTTGTGGTACTATCTATTGGGAAATTCGACGAGGAAAAGCCGTCTCTATTGATGCTTATTACTTTTACACTAACACACATACATATCACAGCATGATTTTTAACGAACGCAAATCTAGAAACGAATGTCAGTCTACATTTAAATACTTCATTACTGATGCGTTATATTAACAAATCCTTTTTTTTTATATTATATATGCGATTTTCCTATATCAATTGTATTTCGAACTTCTTCATTCTTATTTACAAATGTTTTCTTTTCATTTATTTCATAAAACCATATTTAACAAAACCGTAAGACAAGCATGTCTAAAATAAAGGCTACTAGTAGATAATTAGGAGAAGCATTCTTTTCATTATCATTAATTAGATACATTGGAACAAGTTGCAAAATGTTACGCGTTATTAGTTGACGAAAAAGAAAGTTGACCATAACAAAAGAAAATGGTCTCCCTGAATACCGAGATATCCAAATAATTATTTATCAAATAGCGTTTCCAACGAAATATTCGTTGTATTTTTTAAACGTAAGTACTCGCGACAGAATGTGTCATAAACTGTCACATTTCTCGTTATTTCGTTCCAATCGTTTATGATCAGAGTATCGTTCATTTATAGCCTTTCATTCGTCGTATTTTTACCATTTTCATACGACATACGTTTACGTTAATTATAACTACCATTCACGAGGATTTGGTGGCAGGGTGCCTGACTAGGAGGTTCACTTCACCGTCATGTAATTTCTTCATGAGGGACCAGGCTTCGATCCTCGACATACGCGTAACATCGTATCCATTCACTTCTAACAATTGGTCCCCTGCCTTCAAGGCACCCGTCTTGTCGGCAGCACCTCCTATATTATCGAATGTAAAATCGTTAATACGAAGCAAGAGAAAATTAAAATTATTCAAGCGCAGACTTTAGCTGATCTAATAATGTTAAAATTAATTTCAGTCCCTAGATCTCTATGCCTATACTTACCGGTAAATATTTTCTTGATCACCAACGGTCTGTCTCCAAGAGGACTGTCTCTGCCTCCTTCAAGACTGAATCCCAAACCGGCTCCATCTTTGTATACTGCTACAACCGAGGGTGGTCCCCATGCGGTATCTTCTGCGGCATCGTTCGTCTCGAATCCTTTTAACAAAAAAAAAAAGAAAAATATTTTTTCGATAGTAGTTAATAAGTTGTCACTAATAATAATAGTGACGAAAGGCTGAAAAAGGTTTAATCACCTTCGATGATAGTTTCGACGCTTGCTGTTCGCGATTTCAATTTACATCCTTCCTCGGTTCTCGCTCGAGAGACTACCAAGACGACTTCCGACCTGGGCTGTTTAAGCACCGCTATGCTCTCTCTGTGCGTGAGACCTTGCGTGCTTCTTCCGTTTATGCTCAGAATCCTGTCTCCCCTCTGCACACGACCGTCCTTGTCGGCTATAGAATGAGCCAGCACCCGATGAATAGTGATTTCCTTGATCTCACAGTCGGCTCCTCCGGCCAACGTGATGCCAACGCTACCGGAGTGGTTCTCCTTGTGCAGTAACACCACGATCACGTCGTGAGCACCTCGAACTTCCTCCAAACTCGCTTCCTCTACCAGCTGGGCTAATTCTTGTTGCGAGATCAGGCTGGTGCTACTGGCCAAGGAACTGATGCTACCAAATTGTTCGCTATAGCACCTGTCCGTGTCCACGTCCGTACCAACAGGGGACATGTTCTCGTCCACGCTGCTGTCCAGACTCGGGAACCGGTTATGAGCACCTTGATGCGTATTAGGCGAACAATTCACCTCGATCTTCTCCAGAGCCTTTTTCATGTCCGTGACACTGGCGCTCCTTCGACCGAGACTCCTCGCGGTTGGAATCTTCGACAGCAGAGACTTTGATCTTTCGACTTCCGTTATCTCGTCGCCGCTACTGTCCAGTCTCGACCTGTTCAACGTCGGTATCTTCGAAGGTTTATCCTCGTTCCAAGGCTCGTTCGAGGTCGACGAGCTTCTCCTGATGTATCTATTGTCCCTAGACTCCCAAAGCGATCTGGGCTGAGGGTTAGCGAGTATAGTATTCTTCTCGATTCGAGAATCACTCGTGGGAGTACGTGGTAATTTCGGATCTGCTTTTGCGCTTAGGATATCCTCCAAGCTCATTTGGCTCTTCGATTTTCCGAAACTTCCGTCGTCCACGTGTATCGCCGATCTGGATCTGCTTTTAGTCGTGAGAATCGTCAAAAGATCGTTCTGATCTTCCGTACGAGTCTTCGGCGTTATACTCGAACCACGTCTCTGTTTCGAAGCTTCCGGCGATCCAGAGCCCTCGTTTCCTGTATTTCTGTTCGTCGATGACAAACTAACCTGTTGTTCCTCTATGACAACCGATCTGCCGTTCTTCAGAGGGCTATTTACAGGAGCAGCATCCAGCCTCCCTTCCTGGGGCTTCTTCTCGACCTTGTTGCTCTTCTCTTCCGCCGATCTGGCCAGCGCTTTCGCTTCCGTTCGAACCCACATTTTCAGATCGTTCGACGGTTCCATCGTCTCGTACTTGGAGGATACACTTCTCTTTGGGGATAATTTCGACTCGTTCGCCTCTTTCTGGAAGGACTCATCTTCCCCGAACGAGTCGGTTACTTCGATGTACGCGATCTTGACATCCTTCGCGTTCGCGTCCTTCGAGTAATTCCTCTGGTAGCTATCGTCGCCATTTTCGGTGATGCTCGCACGACACTCGTCCTCCGGGAACTTTCTCTGAATCAACGGTGATCCATTCAAGTCCCTACCGCTTCGACACCTGGCACTGGCCAAAATGTTCTTCCGATTAATGGCTTCCACGCTTTGAGGCTTCAGTACTCTTCTCGACAGAGACTCCGCGCTCGCTTGGGAACCGGAAGTGAGGGTCGACGACGTACTGCAGTTCGTCTCGGTGCTGTTGGACCGTTTCAACTGTCTCTGAGGTATTTGGGAGGTTCTAGGGTTCGATTCGCTAGTTGGTAACGGTGATCTGTGCTCTGATCCGCTGCTACTAGAGGATGACCGCTCGGATACGAACGTTCTTTCGTTCAGGATGTTGGATCTTCCGGTGAATTCTACGCTCGATTCTCTGCCGTAGCTTCTGGACGAGCTGTCCACGATCAGAGCTCTTCGCGGATAGTTGGTCTCCGTGGAGACGTAGGATCTTTCGGAAGAAACGGTGGATCGTTCGGAAGGAACTGGGGACATGGGCGGACTGAAGCCTCGGGAGATGCTGCTCTGCGAGCTGCTAACCGCGGAATCGTTGTCAGAGTCGTCGTAATCCATTCGCGTCTTCCTCTGGCCGGTTCTCAATGGTCTGTTGCGCAGACCTTCCGGAGAGCTAGCCGTCGAAGCAAACTCGAAACTGTAATCGCTTCTTGTCGGACTGCAGATGCTTTCCAAACTCTTTGGCGGCTCGGAATGAGTTGGCGTAGCTGTTGGAGTCGGCGTAGACGTTGCGCTGGTCGTCGTGGTTGGAGTACTTTTTGCAGTGCTGTATAGCGAGGAATTGGTCGAGGATGAACCATACACGGCCAAGGTCTTTCTTTTGAAAGCTGGAGAGTACTTGGAGTGTATCTGAGGTGCTGGCATCTTGAAGGAGGTGGTTTTCACCGGCATACTAGCTGTGCTCGCGTTGCTTGCCAATGAACTCTGCGAGCCCCACTTGTCTTGGATGTTCGCCTTAGCTAGCTGTAATGGAAAACAATTTTATTTGCTTCGAACACGTATACACCTAATACGGTGCGATATGCACGCTTACCTGGTGCAGCAGTATCGAGTCCCTTGATTTAATTTCAGGTAAATCGATGATAGGCGTGTCGATGGGTATACTCTCCTTCTCTGGGATAACCAGGCCTCTCAGTTTCGATATCGATCTCCTCCTCTGTTCGATCAGCTGATTCAGGCTATTTCTTCTGATCTCCTCGTTGGGCCTCTTAAACGTGGACGCGAGTGAGTTCGTTCTGGTGATCTGCGAGCTGCTCGACAGCTCGTTCGTCGTCGAGGTTCGATCTTGCCCGTAAGGGCTCGATCCGGAGAAGCTGGTAGCACGCGATAATACCGAGCTGGTCACGGGTTTTAACGACACGTTCGGTGAATTTTGGCCGTTAGTAGTCGAACAATAGCTCTTTATCGGCGATTTCGGCACCGGTGACGATTCGAAAGAGCTTATCAACGGCGTCGGCGTCGACGCGATCGGCTTCTGAGGAACAATCGGGAACGTCTTCGATGTGTGAATAGTCGGGGAAACAAATGACGGACTCTGAGTGATACTGGGCGATCTTTGCCTGTACTTTTTCACGGAGTCCTGATTGACGTTCCGACTCGAGTCGGTCAAGTCGAAAGAGCTTTGCGTTCGATCCGCGAAGAACGAGGCCCTCTCCTTCTGCCCAGAGCTCTTCTCGTCGTTGCAAACGTCCTCGGTGGATTTATACTTCGATAACCTTCTGGTGTTATTCGTCGCAGTAACGACAGTCACCGTGTTTGGGAACAGAGGCCCGTCCAGGCTGCTTTGGGACGAGAACATCGCGATCTTGTCCCTGACGGACTTCTCGGACTTGTCGTCCTTCCTCCACAGTTCGCCGTTCAATGAAAATTTCCTCGGCGATGACTCCAGAATTGGAACGTTCCTCGAGTAGGGAACAACAGTTTCCAACTTGGGTGGGCCTGATGAAAAAAACAATTAAACTATAATTAAGTATCTATTTTGGCTGCACGTTTCAAAAGTTTTAGAGTGTCCCTCATTACCTGTGAGTGGAAGCGGCGGGGGCGTGTCCAGGGTATCCTTCTCCTCTTGCAACTGCTCGATAACCGGGTCTTTGTGATAATATCCAGTGATTTCGATCTTCTTCTCCGAGACGATGACGTTACCGTTACTTTGGTTCCCATAGCTGGAATAGTTGGTCACGGACGTGGTCTTTTTAACGAAGTCCTCCGCGATGAACGGTTTGGCGTCGTCGACGCGGGACTCTCGAGCCAGCACGCTCGCGTCCTGACAAATGCTCTCGATGCTCATCTTGCCGTTTATCTCGATGCTCGGCAGACCGACTTTGCTCACCTCCTGGCAAACGTTCTCCACGCTGTTAAGTCCGACTCTGGCGTCGGCGAGGATCATGCTGGTCGCGTTGACTACGTTGTTCTCCAGCTGTTTGAAGCTCTCGTTGAACGACTCGTTCTCGTTGCACAGGACTCTGCCGTTTGCCATGATCGTCGACGTCCTCGCGGCGGTGGTTGCCGCCGTCACGAATCGGTACTGCTGGTTGTTGCCGCCAAACTCTTGATAGGCTGCTGGGAACTCGTCCCCGTCCGGGGGCAGGCGTTGACCGCCTCCACAATTGTCCATCCTACCATTTACCGGGTCTAAAATCACAGAGGAGAATTTTTGATTTTCGCGGTATAGATTTGATTTCGGGACGCGCCATGCAGAATCGATTGATTCACGGTCTCGCGAGTTCGACGGGATCGACGCCCCGACGACACAACGTAACGCGTCGTTCAACACGCGTCGCTGCTCTCTCGCGATCTCGCGAACGAACGTTGATCCGTTCAAGCATCTGAAATATGCCAGTAGCGGCCAGATCCAAGGTAGAAGGGGAAGCGCTTAATAAAATCCACTTTTCGAACCGCGATAAGGTTTAAAAACGTCCAGCTAACAGATTACACGGACGGTTACACGGGCCTCGAGTATTTTCCTCTTTTTCTCGCGGACGTCAGTTTCACCGTTTATCGACAGCGGACAGCGAACAGCCTGGCAGGAATTTCAATCTACGTGAGAGCTGGCCAATTCAGATAAATTTCCATTTAGTCCAACATAGACTCTATCTCTACGTGCCTCTGCCCGCAGAATTCGCTCGTTTGATCGTGTTCAGACGTTCGACTCTTCTCGGAGTTAGAAAAAGATCGTTAGTATCGGGATTCGTGCACGGATATTAGGTCCCTGCGTAACTCGAGGAATTCGTGGGTTAAGGTATGTAGGTGGGTGACGTGTCAGGTCAAAGCATTGAAGAAGATGTCAGGAACAAAGGACTCGGTTATTTTAGCGATTTACGCAATCGTGTTACTTTCACGAAACGATACACGATGTCGTCCGCGCGACGAGTTAATTTAACCGAGGGAGTCGCGTGTACAGCAGCAGATCCGCGGTTTCCTCGCAACCAACCTGATCGTGTTCGAGTCCAAGGATTTCTACATTCTAACACGCACCCACTGATAAAACCGTTTGCTCGCTTATCCGCGGATACGTCACGCTCTTTAGCTCGAAATTACAGAAAATATTCCACATATACTGTTCGACTTCTTTATCATTGTTCCTATTTGAAGTTCCTATTTTACCGTGAAAACGTTGTTATTCCATCGTTAATAAAACGCGTCCCGCTAACTTCTGATTAACATTCCTGGCCGGTTACCAGTCGATGGAACTAATCGTCGATACACGTGCAAACCGGTGCTTGTTCCGATATCGCGATACGATGCACCACCAACCACGTGCCATCGGAAATTCCATTGACCGGTAACGAAGAACGTGTATTATGTAATTCGTAGACGAACAGCGCCTACGAGTTTCCTGTTTCTTCCTCAACCGCGTTCCGGCCGTTTAACAGAGAAACGAATTAACAGAGATCGTGTTCTCGAATTTTCGCCAATTTTTTCCAATTGTAATTAGAATAAACTGGAAATATAATTTTACTATAAGTAATACTTCATCTTCCCTCGGACCATCATAGGACCATTCCTCAGGTACTGCTTCAGAGGAATGGTCAGTGCGGCCCCTGCGCCTCCTTCGTTCTTATTTTTCATATCCCCAAAATTTCTCGTGTTCGCAATGTCTGGCGATTCGCATTCCAGAGTTCTTCATGTGTGACAGCCACTTGTCGGTCCACGTTTACGCGCCACGAACGAACGCACACTCTTGCCTCCCTGCTATCCCTCGCCTGATATCGGTACAAATATGGTGCGATCGCTGGGACGATCATACCGTTCACTGATGAAACGGGTATACTATTGCTTTACAGCGGAATAAGATTTCAGAAAATTTGAAAAAAGTAAGCAACGTTATCGAGTACCTGCTTAAATTTCATTATTTCGATCGATTTATAGACGAATGATTTACGATCAAATGTTAGTTAATTGATTCTCAATCAATAATCGCCGGTATCATAGAGTCTATTAATAGTCTTCCGGTCGGTTAGGTGTTAACACCTATAATAACCCATATTAACGCGTGCCGTACCAGACACGTCTGTATCTACTGCGCCTACTAGTAGTAGAGGTACCGCATTCTTCCCCTAACGTTCTAACGTCAAAAGATTCTACAAATTCTTCCCACAGGTTTTTCCTATCATTTATAGATCTATAAATTATTATTAGTACTTGTAATAATTAACAGATGTTCGAGAAGTTTCAAGCTAAAACGGGCAAATATTTAATAAAAATTTACAAGTTTCAAATTGTTTATTTCTACTTTGACTAAAAGAAGTATGTTTATTTCATTCCATATCCACTTATCGTTGTGACAAGTACTGACCTCGACTTCATCGAAGAAAAAGGCTTCCAGTAGGAAGCTTCCAGTGTCAGGCTTCTCCGTGGCTGACATAATATTCTGTCGGCCCGATTTATAACTTCAACAAACAATCGTTCGACACTGTAGAAACTACGAAACGTGTCTGTTCGAGATAGGCGGTTTCCTCGAATAAACGAGCTGAAACGGTCCGGTCGGGACGAAAAGTAGCGGCCACACGACCCTGAAGGACCACGATTCGAAGAAAAAGCGGCACTGCTCGCTTGGCAAGGGGTTAAAGAGGAGAAGAGGGATAGAGAGGACTCGTTCTTGCCGGTAAGAAGGCTCTCGTAAGACTGGACGACATTGCTTGTTCGAGGCCAGCTTCCGTGGTTAGCTCCGAGATCAAGCGTTATGCGTTCGCGCGAAAAAGTGGGGTGGCACGAGGTGTGGCTAGTAAATATTACCGCAACTGATACTGTAACTTAATTTTCACGAAGAAACCTACATTTTAACTCATTTCCCCTTCGATACACCCCCCTCCTACCATCTGAACTGGATATTCCTCTGTAAACACCTATTTTCAATCTCTGGAAATTTAATTAAGGAAAACCATTAAACCTAGCAGCCTGGCGTTTTGCATATATATTGATACACGTCTAAAGTAATAGCAGACATTTTTGCAAGGTATTCTATTAAAAATTGTAGGAGTTATCAATAGATGGGTAGGTACGTGTCGTCGAACGTTATGTATGGAAAATTTTCAAAAGACATTTACTACACCGTGTAATTTACACGTATCCCGGCTATGAACCTAATACTTTCGTGTATATTCGAGGCGATTTGACGCGATTACCAAGCCCCATCGCTGGATATTACCGATTCTTCGTTTTAATGGAAACTCGCGTAGGTGTAATTTACGTAGAATTAACATTTTTTCTTTCCCCAACGGCTTATCTGACACGGGAATATTTACGGTGTTTCATTTTTACCGCGATTTAAGTGCAGGAGAAAGTACCTGGAGACTCGAGAAAGACACGAATATCGCGAGTTCAAGGATCGAACGTTCCTTCGTTCTTCGAACGAGACAACTTTTCTGGTTCGTCTAGTCGTTTAACCTAATTGCAACCATAAATTACGTCATTTTGCATACCGTTTCAACTACGAGATTCTGTTAGTCGTGATATGGGAAAAGATTCATAAATTCTTTTTAACGGATACACCCATGATTATGAAACGTAGAAAGTCTGATAAGATTAGATGACATAAAAGTATCGTGAAATCGCACTTGTGGCGTATCAATTTAAAACTTAAAGTGCGAAGAAAATGACTGTATAAAAGTTTCATCAATGTTCTTGATACAAACTGGCTTAAATTGAAAATTGGATATTCAGTGATGGACGTCGCGAAGCTGTAAATTCGTTGATCCATTGTTTGTTCTAACGAAGAATACCGATGAAACCTTTTCATAGTTATTTTCTTCAATGTTTAAGCTTTAAATTGACATACCATAAGTACTATTTCGCACGACTTTTATGTCATCAAATCGGGTTAGACTGTATAGGAGCGCACTTTCAAAATTGAAAGAAAGGAACGTTTTGTCAAGGAGACAAAAGGACGCTCTTGTCCTTGGACACGAGAAGATCGAAATCGCGTCAACGTGTCTCGAAAGTGTGAAACCTTGTCCGTAGATTATTAATTGTTATTTTAATCTTTCGCAATGACATCCTTTTGTTGCGCGGATTCGCGTCACCGCGCTGGAATGATCGGAGTCGAAACTTCGAAACGATCGTAAATCAACTTTATCGTCGTTCGTGAATATACGTGGTGTTTTAGAAGTGTCTTTTCTATCTTCACACGTGGAATCGATAGCTCCTCGATAGTCTAATCAATATTGAGTCAGCCTGTGTTCGTCGTGGACCATCGAATCGGTCCATCTACCAGCAGATTTACACGATAAACCGGCGAGCTTTTATTTTCGACAAGAATGAATCACTCGGGTAGGACGCTACAACGCGATAAGCAATCTGGGTTTTATAACGTACATCGACAGTTTGCTCAGCACTTTTGTGATATTTTAATCCGACCGCCGAAAACATACGCTATCAGAAAGATCGTTCCATTAATCGACACATGCTAGACCAAGCTGATTCTCAATTACGTATACAGGGTGTTCGACAACAGGTGGGAGATTTTTTAAGGGGTGATTCTAGGGATCCAAATAAGACGAAATAGCGTTTGCGGCTTTGTTTCCCAGTAATTAACGTTTAAAAATTCCAGTAAAAGAGCATAAAATCTGCGATCAGCTGGGGTGGGTAAAGTCACAACCAAGCATCGTTGAATAGTAGAAACTTACTTCGTGCTATTCTGTATCTCGGTACTGTAGCATTCGGCTTTCTCTTCTTGGTTATGACTGTACCCACCCCTGTTGACCTGACGTTCAGTCGTCGGTGCTGGGCAGATCGCAGGTTTTTGGCGCTTTTAAACATTAATTAACTAGAAAACAAAGCTGCAAACGTCTTATTTCGTCTTATTTTGATCCCAAGAATCACCCCTTAAAAAATCTCCCAGCTGTTGTCGAACACCCTGTATACTCGTCGTTCGCGAATCAAGGGTTTCGCGAAGGATGCCGAATAATTATCGTACGCGTAAACGTACGTTTTAGCCGAGCTAACAGGCGTAAACGTGGTTGCAGACGTAGCCGAGGTCACTCGCAGATCTGCAACGTGATATTAACCCTTCAACGCGGTTCGACGTACATATTAAGTTGCGTCCTACTTTTCTAGGCCTAAGTATCCCGGAGAAGACAATCGACTTTTTCGATGTACAAATCAACGGACGGAGGCTGGATAATGGGTCGAAATCGTTACGCAATTAAGGACACGAAACCTTGTTTCTTCCACGGCTACTGGCCTCGTCGCGCAAACTCTGTATTTAGTCGCACGAACGCGTTTCTGAACGATGACGAACCGTACGCGTCCTACCGTTTGACCATCGTTATCTACTTAATTAATTCGCGATATTCGTTTGTAGCGATGTTCGAAAGTTACGGGTTAATTAGCAACTTAACAGATCGGATGGCGCAACGAGGGTCTACCGATTCGGTGATGAATTAGAAAGGTTGATTTCGTGGCAGTGATCGTGGCCACCGTTACTTCGCTTTTGCACGCCTTGTTCGCCAACGATCGTGCGGTTCCCACATTATTCCTCCCGTTCGACGAATGACGCGCGGGTTAGGCTCACTTTGACCCAAACTATTGCCATTTTATGCTTTCGTACCGTTATGGATTCCGTGTCTGTTTAACCTTTAATTCGACAACGATATATCTTTAATTTTCGATATCTCAAAGGTGTTTCTTTTCAAACACCCTGTATATTTCTATATTACTCGGATAATTATCTTCATTTTTAACAAATCTTATCTATTATTCCCAGTATTATATTATCAATTCCAAGTACTCGATTACCAGTATTTCTAGGGTGACGATTACATTTAAATGTGACAAATTAGACTTACGTCTCACTGTCCACCTTGCAACTAATGACACATAATCATTCGAAAACTCAATATTTACAGTTCAAGGCACGTCATATCGTTTCGCAATAGCTGGCAACGCACACGAACCCGCAAAGACCGCATCCTTTTGTATATACTTTCTCGGCTCGCGTGGGTGACGAACGGTATCGCGAAACGTTTGACACGACGATCACTGGATTTTTATCGCGTTAGACTGCGAATATTCCATAGTCAGAAATAAGGTTGCAGAATGCGGAAACATCGGCGGCGCGTCGTACGTGCCTCGAGACGCCGATGACGCCCGCCGTCGCCGACTTAGCTTCTCTCGGTTCGTGGGAGCGGCTCGTGAAACGGGTAGGATGCGAATCACACCTCGAGAATCTTATCCAATTAATTTTTTTTCACCTGTCCCACTATAAGGGTAGCCGCGTAGAAAAGAAACACGACGCTGATGATGGAAATAATGCGATACGCGACCGATTGCGACTCGATATCGATTCAACGAGCTCCGATAGCTTCGCGTTTGCTTTTTACCCGCCTCCTCCTTGATGCATGCTTCCTAGTTTCTTTCAGTACTTTCATGGAATCGGTTTCTCGACATATCTACGTAAAACACGGGGATCGTTTGTTGGCTGTTCGGAAGTTGTAGCTTTTAATTGTATTTTCTTGGAAATTAGGGGTCGCGGTGGTGGTTCGATACCGCCAAGTGATGCTTTTTATTATCGTGGAAAGCGAATTTGATCGTTTCTGCAGCTATCAGATCGAGAACGATGATATCGGAAATTTATTTTTCAACCTTCTGAAGGCCTTTGAAGTTATATGATTACATCGGTAATCGAAAAATGAATGAGTAAGAAATTTCAATTGCAAGATAATATTCTGATAACATTATTTTGTTACCATACCGATAATAGAAAGTAGATACTGATTTTTATCAGAATATTGAACGCAATAATCGTTGAAATATCTCCTTTGAAAAATTAAAGATCGAAGCGATTCGGAGGCTCTACAAATCACTTGAAAATTGAATGCCCATCACTAATTGGGGTTATAAATACACGATTAGTTGCGGACATGAAACAATACCGACCGACACCAGTCTATCGCGATATTGCATCTATTTTCAATGGCCACGCAATACCTTATCTAAAAAGTCCAGCGACGCTTTTAACCCATGACATCGGTACTAACCCGTTCCTTTATCTTGTAAATTAACAATAACGTTTATCAATCGGTTTTTCCCCGCTCCGTTTATTCGATAACGCGTGCAGAAAATCATAACCGATCGATCGAAAGAGAAAAATATCGGAGGAAGGAAAATCCTGAGCAGGATCGTTCTGCGATCTTCTCGGCGCTGATTTTCTTCCTTTAGACGAGAACGAGGCGTTCATTACCGGTGGCGAACGGGTTCGTGACACGTCACGGAGCGTATCTCTCAATGTGAAGTTCGCGGCACGATCGAGGGCGAATTCTTGCGGACTTTCACCGGCCATCGAAGGACGGGCCATCGTCGTAAACCGTCTCGAGAGCATTTGCGGCTTTAGCACCATTGTTGCGGCTCGCGGAACCAACGTCGCCGTCGGTCACGTCGTTTTGCTTCGGTTCGCTTTGCAAAAATCCATTCCGTTCGCTCCCTTTGTAAGAGGAAGCGGTTCCAAGAACGCTTTGAGCCAGCTTTGAACGCTTAGGAAATCGAGTCGTACGATTCGAAGCTCGCGTCGAGGAATTTTGCAACCATTCTCCTTCATATTTGCGTCCCATCGGGTCGATCGTATACCGCGTGCGATTAATAAAATAAACTTTCTTACCTGCTTTCAAATCTTCGACGACAACAGCCTCAGGGAAATTCGTGTTTCGATTCGCACTGTCTACCTCGTCATTCCGTCCTGCGAACAAATCGGAACACCGATCAGAGGACACTTCTATTTAACAAAGAGAAAATAAAATATAAAAAATCGCTGACTTATGCAACTGCGTTTCACGACTATTTCCAAGCCATGATCGCGAGCGACAAACAGGGTGCCGTCGATGTCGTTTCAATTAAGCGAAATTACCGGAAGGCGGTCGCGAAACGAAAAGTTCTCTGCGTATGTACACAAACCAGTCCAGTGATAATGAGTCGAGGTAATGGTTGCTAGCTAGTGGACACAGCTGCACGGTTAACTCCATTTGACCCGTTGCTTATTAAACACGCATCAGATACGTAGACGAGAAGTAGAAAAGGCGTACGGCACGCGCGTCTATTGTTCCTTGTCTCCTCGCGAGATATTATTAATATCTCGCCATGGATTTTTATACTACTGCGTAGTAGATTGTGTAAAACCAGGCACTGAGATTTCGGGGGTCCAAGGGGAGCTCCCTCATATATATGACATAAAATAAGTACCTCAAGTAAAATTTATAAAATTAACATTAAAGCTTGTATAACTAATTTAGATTTGCATTTACATCGATTAATATTCAAGTAAACATTGCTCTTCTCGCATTCTTAGACGCAAAATCTTCTTATGGGGGCCCTGGACCTTGGGGGGTTCTAAATGGCCGCCTAGTCTGCCTAGGACCGCGGCCGGCCCTGTATAAAACATGCGGCTGTCAAAGGGTTAAGCTTCGAGTTTCCTTTTTCAAAGAATTGACAGAGAACGTTTGCATATGCAAGGTAGGATAATACGATGGCGCCATTCAGTAATCAACGGAATACGCGGAAGAGTAAAAAACGGGCTAGGAGGACTCGGATGATCTCTTGTTTCTACGGCCTTGATCGCTTAATGAACGTTGTTGCCCCGTAACCAGATCCGTATCTCGAGACGCGGCTCCTCCAATAATCTTCTTCCTTCAACCAGTTAACGAACCTTTGAACTCGATCGCTATTAATTAATCCCGATCGTTAGGCCGAGTCTGCTTTCGGAACACGGTCCGAATAGAAAAGTGAATTTGATCGCTATAATTTCCAAAGGATACTGTAAATAGATTCGGTAAATTACGGGTCGATCTTGATCAACGATCTTTCGGTTGCCAGGGGGGTTTCGATGTGATTAACGAGAATGCCGGGTCTGGCCGATGGAATTCGTGAAGCCAGGATCGTAGCGATCGAGGATCGGTAGTTGGAATTTCAATAATCTTCTGTGACGAATTATCGTAATGGTAGATTAGAGTTTATAATTAGTTGTTCGCATGAAATATCGCGGGTTGAGACGCGAACGCGTCCTCGTTGGTCAACGAAAGATGCCGAGCGCTTCTTTTCAAGGGACATTTTTCAATGGTGATCGAACGGGAAGAAGCTCGACGAAAGGGCCGGCGGGAAGTTGACATTAAGGGAGGAACCTGCAATGGAAAGAGGAAGCAAGACAGCAGGAGAATACTGAAAAGGAAAAAAAGAGAAGCAATCTGACGAGAGGAAGAATAAGAAGAGGATCGGGTAAAGGAGCGAGTAAGAGGGAATCGGAAGTTAAAGAGTGAACGAGAGTGGAGAAGAGATGAAAAGAGAGGAAAGAGAGCAAGGAAAAATAAGAAGAGTTGTTCTCCTCTCCGGTCTAAGAGGTTGGGAGAGGGTGGCCTTGAGCAGGTCATCACCTCCGGCTGCGGTGCTGATGCTGCTCGTGCTGGACCATCTTAACTTCTTCTTCTTCTTCTTCTTCTTCTTCTTCCTCTTCGTCTTCTTCTACTTGCTCCTTGAACCCTTCTTTACTCCTCTGGCCACCTCTTCTTCGCCAACCTCCTTTAACCTTCTCTTCTTTCTGTCCTCGGCTCTTTCTCTTTTTCTCCTCCTAGCCATCTCTCTTCCTCTTTCTTTTACTCTCTGCGCGCGCTCTTTACACTTTTCCAGGGACCTCCATCGCGCGGTATGAAACAATCCGTACGAGCTAACTCGGCACCGGATTCACGATAGAACGACGTTTCTTAGGACCCTTTGACCTTCGTACAAGTCATTCATTGGTAAATGCGATAAAAGTCCGTCGTTTAAGCAGGAATTGCCGAGAATTCTAGGAATTCTAGTATTTCAAAATTTCAACGCCTAATTTTAACGAAAGCGTCAATTTGACAAGTGGTCGACGAGAAAATAACTTCTAGCGACTAATTGAAGAAAAAGAGAAAAAGAAGAAGAGTGAAGAGGGGAAGATTTCGAGCGGTTGGATTAACACGAAGGGAATCAGGCAAATCGAGTTTGACAAAGTGGATCGTCCGTGACGCCCCTCGAACGTAATGGTGGACGCGTGGCAGCGTCGGTGTCGGCTTCAGCAGGTACAATGCGAAATCGTTTCGGTAAAATCGGCCGGTGAACGCGACCGTAGGACCGGCCTCCGTGACTCGGTGCACCGGCTTAAGTGAATGAGAAAGATAAACATAATAATTACGGCAAATTGCTGGCTGCCGTTGAAAACGGCATCGCTGAACCGGCACCACGTCAGAAGAGGAACGCGAACTCCGATGACCAATGAAATCTCGTTTAACAGGGTGTACCGTGACACCTGGACAGAACTTCGCTGATGGATTCGGTAAATAATAATCAAATCGTTAAGTCGAGTCTTCCGGTGATTCCGGATGATTTTCTCTGATGGAAAATGAATACAGTAGCATGAACGGTAAAAGGTTATTCACCAGGTAATTGTTGGTGTTTTATCAATCGCGAGTTGAAGAGGTAATGGTGTAATAATTGAGCGTAACACGAAGATTGAATTTTCGATAACGGGAAGAGCACAAAGAAGAACGATTTACGAGGACGTCGATCACGCGATGTGTCGACCTCGACCCAGTAACTTCCAGGCCACGTATAGCCCTGAGGTTGCCGATCGAAATTCTTTTCGATCGCACCAACTCGATCGATGTAACCCGCGGCAATACCTGTCCAAGACAAACTTCGAACGGGAATAATTACGTGTAACGCTATTATGAATTTCGATCACTTATGAGGTAATCGTTTAATTTGAAACACCTCATAGCCCATCGCACCGATAGATATAATTATCTTTCCTGAAAACAGCTAATAATCGAGAATTACACTTAACAGCCTTCATGACCTGGTGAAATAATAAACGTTCTAACAAAGTGTATCTCGAGAGTTACAACGAGGCATGAACAGTTGGCGCCTGCTCGATAAACCAAGCTCGCCTTTAACGAACACATTGCTCCGTGTCGTGCAGAAATTTAATACGATATGTATATGTACACGATCGTACGCGAGCACGCACGTGGAGATGCGTCCGATGAATGAGCTAATTGTGCCTTCAACGCCGCGAATTCCATCCCCTTTTATTCCTTCGACGCCTTCCTATGCTCGGTCGCTTGCATCTCATTCGTGATGGGCTAATAATCGCTTGAAAAATTACTCTCGATCTGTATCAGTATACTCTCGCCATACCGACGAAACAGAGACTTATAGTATTGATAACGTTTGTCGATCATCTGATGGATTCCTTAAATTTCCGGGGCTTCGTTGCAGTTGCAATCAAGCGTGTGCACGATTTCTCGAAGAAACAACAACGGAATGGGACGGTAAATAGTTTCAGGCAGGTGTAGCCCATCTGCAGTGTCAGCTGCCAGCGAACCGAAGCCCCTGCCACGCTCTCTACCCTTGAGATTCAAAAAATATCCTGCGAGCTGCAGCTGTTGCTGGTGCGCTTTTCTTGTGGGTGGCCAGTGAAAGTGCAGCCTCGAGGTCAACCTCGACAAATTGAATTTTTACACCAACATCCTTTGATAAATCATCGCGAAAATCTTTAAACTATCGCATTATTTTTTACCTCGAAGTAATAAAATACTGTGAAAATAATTGTTAAAATTACAAAAAAAAAAAAAAGATACCATTTAAACGAAACTGAAATTTTTAATAAATCTCATAAATCTCTTTTCACGTCGATAAGAAATCGAACGTTACGTGTTGCGATTGTCGTTAAAGACACGTTCTAGCCGGGAACGTGTCAATCGACAAAATTGTTCGAGTCTAAGATTTCTGATCGAGCAGCGGTTTTTCTTCGGCTTTTTTCACCAACCTACGATCCGGGAGAGAATCTTTTTTTACCCACGAAGCTGTTGCACACTACACTCGTTAATGTCCCACATCCTGCCGTCGAAAGCGTTCTCTCGTTCTTCCTTACGAGCGTCGTGGACGAGTGAATCGTAATTTTCAGTCTCTCGTAATTGCTCCTTAGCCTGCCAGCTCGGAAGCTAAGTTTTCCCTTTCGACTATGCTTCGCTCGATGACGCGATTGATTCGTGAGTCAGATCTGAATTGGTTTAATGATTCACTTCGATCGTACGAAACATCGGATTCATCGAAAGAGTATGCCGCTATAGTTGGAATTAATTTCAGTCATCTTTTGAGTAAACTTGCTGTAATTCTTCGAGATTATCCTATGCAATCAGTACGTTACAAGGAAAGATTAAAGTCTAGCCAACGTACAGATTATAATAATTTATAGCTATTATTCATAATTTGCCTAGTTATTGTGTATACCGTCTAGGTAAAACTGCTACAGGGAAAGTATTAATATATTATTATCTTTCTTTTTTATTGGAAACTTAATCCGAACCTACTACGGATACATCGTATATAAAATATAAGAATTTAATTCCCTATAAATTCCAGTTTAATGAGTTAATTCGACGTTGATGGTAGCATTAGGTTGTTGCATATCAGATGGCTGATTTCGAAACGCTAGAAAGTCTGACGCAATTTGATAACATAAAAGTATCAGAAAATACCACATATGCCGTATCAATTTGAAGCTTAAACTTTGACAGAAATAACCACGTAAATGTTTCGTTAATGTTCCTAATACTAACCGCGGAAGGGTTAAGCTGAACACTTGTACACGATTTCCCGGTAAATATTTTTTACAGGAGGATACGTTTACTACCTTGTTCGGTTTATTCAATCGATCGTCGGAAAGAAAACACACTCGCTTCGATGTATTAGCAGCGTAAC